TTTTGATAAAAACAACCAATATTAAATGCACCATCTACATGCCCTATCTCAGCAGATTTCTTATAATAAATGAACGCCTTATAATCATTTTTTTCAACCCCAATGCCGTATTGATAGTTATAACCAACATTATACACAAAATCAGCAAATTTTTGATGGTACGTTAATGTCTCATGTATATTGTTTTTAGGAGCAATTTGCAAAGTCATGTTAAAGTCTGTATCTTTATCTTCAATAAAACTTATTCTTGACATCAGACCTTTATTTATGCATGAATACCGCTGATTTAATTTTTCTAAAGCCTTAGGTTGTTGGGAAATTTCGGCATCACAACGTTGAACTGTCATTTTTACAATATAAATGCCACAAAACGAAAACCTGGAATTCTTTATTTTCTGAAATTTCACTTTCAGAAACAACCGTTTCTGAAAATGTAATTTCGGAAAATCAACAATACCAGGTTTTCGTTTTGTAGCATTCATATATTTTGGAAGTTCTGGTCCTACAGCATTACAAACTTTATTCTCTAAATCACAATAATAGTACTGGGATAGGCCCTTTATTATCTTGTAAAATAATATGTTAAATGAGTGTATATCTGCCTCTTGCCCGTATTTTTTGATACACGAAGCTTTTAGTGCGGCATAGAATAAGTTATCGATGTTATTCATTAACAAATAAGCCGAAATTTTAGCTTTTCCTTCATGAATTAAAAATATTTGTGCTTCCTACAAAACATTATATTATAAATAAATTTAATGTTATAATTACCTATTTTGTGAAATATTGATGTCACTGGGTTATATCTAGTGATGGGCACTGCGCGGGATATATTATATAATTCGGACAGTGCCATAAATCTGGCCGGATTCTGAAATATTCCGAGATCGAAGCAAAATTTTGACCCATTTCAGTAAGATTCCGACCATCACTAGATATATCCAATTGTAAAGACATATCGATACGTCTTTACAATGGGATATAATCAATGCCATAAATATTTCTGCCCAATAATCACGATCAATCCTTCGTTTATTTTTTCCCATTACTCTTTTTTTTACTCACATTTTTAGTTTCAAAAATTTTCATCACCAAAATCTGGATTTTAGTCATGCTTCGCAAATTAGTTATCGATTGAAACAAATATGGAAAGAATATAATGCAGTGGTTCAGAATATTGGTCAGTTCATTGATCGTATTGAAGAGTTTGAAAATGTGGTTAAAAAAATAAGACAGCTCAGATTAGAGAGTTGACTCTATTTATAATTGTTATAACGTTATCAATCATTGTCAAGGCGCGTAATGTTCTCCATTTAGTAGTTCGAGATCGTTAGAAGTTTCACACACTTTTCGTACGGAAAAGTGAGAAGTTTACAAGACAGCCAGAGTTAGGGAATTCGTATGTCTTCTAAAGGAAACGAACAAGGAC